GGCATCATGGATTTGATCAGAGGCATCAATAGACCTAAAAAAAAAGTCCCTACAAGACAACTCACAAGCAAATTCATCCGACTTCTTCTCTTCCTATCACTCTAAGCATCAGTCATGATAGAACCCCATACTGAGCACATGCATCCTTCTTAAGTTCTACAGCTTCCTTCGTGACACTCATTGCCTTTTTTAAAAAAGGCTCTGAAGGCTGATATGGGATTGGGGGTTTCATCCTAGGGCCAAATTGGCCAATTGCCTCTACCGCAACATAGAAGCTGTTTAAGCAAGAGGTATTGAAAGGAATGCCTGCCTCATAAAACCATGTAGCAAGATAATAACAACTCTATCTTTCTCTTCCTTCTTGATTCTATTTTCAATGGTGGTTTGCTTATTTGTTTTCTCTCCTGCAACCTCAGAGTCAGGCCGAGGTAAAAAACTATCCATAGGGCCTCTAACCCGAGTCTTCTTAGTCCCAGAACCAGAAGCAATTACAACTCCCTTCCCCTTCCCTTAATAATGGATTGTTCAAGCTCTTGACATCCCTCCCCAATCCTTTCCTTATCACTATCGTCCTCATCATAATTGACCCGAACCCCAGACCTAATCTCTACTATAGAGTCAAATCTCTCATCTTTTTTCGTTTTTACCATGTTCAAAAAATTGTTTATTTCCTCTTTAACAGCATCAGGAGTCTTTTTACATAGGGCAACATCCCCCTTGATACCGGCAAGATGGTTCTTGAACCGGTTTATGCCCCCTTTTGTATCCTTATCACAAAACTTGCATCTTATACAATTTTTATCATTAGGATCTGCGTTATAGCCATATTTCCAATCGGGATCACCACTTCTATGAGATCCCGAAGAAGACATCTCAAAATAATGCAATTTACTAAAGCAATAAAAAAAATCACTTACTTTGAGTTTGATTGCTCAATCTTCAAACTTCCACCTCAAATATGCTTCTAAATACTCAAAATCTTCTAAAAAACCCCTTAATAACTTTGCAAAACATCAAAAAGTAAACCTAAGATCAATGAGTGATGTTTTGATCAATTTTTGTTAACTTTGAGAAACCCTTCGATCTTAAAAAATTCACTAAAACTAGTTTTTTGGGAGCTTTCTCTCTATAAATTTGGCCCCAATAAGTTTTAGGATTCAAATGAACCTAAAACACTAATTGTTGGCTCTTTAATACAAAAAAAAAATGACCAAATTGCCCACACCGAAACTTATTTCTGCCCTTGGGCAGGGTGCAGGCCCTGGCCGCCCGCCTAGGCCTAAGTGATGCGCCCAGTCCTTTCAGACCGCC